ATATATATATATATTCACTCTTCTATATTAATTGAAAAACTATTAAAAATGTTACTACAATAATATGTGACAATATGTTTTTATGTTTTGAAATAATATATATGTGACAATGTGATATGTAATACTAATTTAGTCTTATGTTTTCATTTCATTATCTATTGATTTAATATATTTTCTTTAACGGGTAATGGGATGGGTCATTTTACTTGTTAATATTAACGGGTCGGGTCCTATCACCTGTTTATTTTAACGAGTGTTACATGAAACAACCCATCAAGATATCAGGTATGTCACGAAAGCGACACGAACACAGGAATCACTATACAAATGCCAAGTCTAATTTTGATCCCTAGAGTAGGTTTGCTTCTACATGGTCCTGAAATTGGTATAACTCTTTGTTTTGGTCCTTAAATTTCAAAATTGACCAACTTCATCCCTAATATTGATTGTCACAAATCAAGTTGGACATTCTGTCCAGTTTCCGTCCATTTTAGCACTAAAAGTGGTCATGTTGGCCCGAAAATCCCTGTTAAATATAAAGGTCCTCATTTTTGTTCCTGGAGTATGTTTGCTTCTATAATGGTCTCTAGAATTGGTATGCCTCCTTATTTTGGCTCCTACAGTTAAAAATCGATCAATTTCGTCCTAAAGATTGGTTGCCGCTAATCAATTTGGCCATTCCTTCTAGTTTGCATCTATTTTAGCGTTAAAAGTGGTCTCATTTTTTTTTCACACCAAAAATAAGTGCAAGATAACTTGTTAGAAAAAAAAAACTCATCAAATTTCTAGTGATCGATGCAATAATGAATATTTGTGATACCTCCCACAGTTAACGAGAGTAGGGATAACTTCCTAAATTAGTGTAATGGGTCGAACAATAGAAGTTTATAGAGACAACTCAAAAAAGTTGACCAATAAAAGGTTCAAGTACCACCAAATCCAAATGGAACCCTAACTTTTTAGAAGGCCACTTCAGTTATTAAATTTGTAATTGTTAAGCCTGCAACATTTGTCTAGCTTAGTTTGCCAACCGTTGAGAAAGTGATGAAGACACAAGCATGCACGTCCAAGACTAATGGTCAATGTAATGACACTCATGTCACTAATTTTTTAATTTGGTTGGGGAATAGTATTTTTTTTTTCGTATTATATCTTATATAGCATGCTTCCTTATTATATATATGTGTGGTTAGATTAGTGTATCTTAGTGAAAAACACTTCAGTTCTGTTTGGGATAGAGGAGAACAACAAAATTCATGAAAAATTTGAGAGATGAACTATGATAAGAGGAAAATTTGTGCAAAAATGTACGTAGAGAATACTAGATTAATGATTTATTTTTGCATATACATACATACATACATACATACATACATATATATATATATATATTATATTCTCTCTTTTCCTAGTCCCCCCTTCCCTCCACCATCTTTCTAACGCATATCGGCATATACATACTTCCTTCAAGATTTAGCACTAAAAACTAAGGATGGTGCTATCTTCATACACTTATTTTTACCTTTCACATATTCATTGTCAATTTCTGTCTTTTGATCTTCTTCAATTCATTTGATCCGACAACGAAAATGAGAGAGTGTTTATTAAGAGGTAAAAATGCGCGTGTGGACAACACCACTCGAAACTAAAAGCGAAATGTCCCTCCCCTTTTCTTCCCTTCTCCCCTAACACATACGCAAGAATCAATTGTTAATGTCAGATGCAATAATAATAATCTAAGTGCTATAGTAGTTTGGTCCAAGCCTAGGGCTTTTTTTTCTTTAACATGTGTTTCACATGTATGTAAACTATCAAAAGAAATTTCGAGACGCTTATTGTGAAGAGTACGCCTGCATATTTTCCTTCCACATGGTCTTGTAACTTCGTAATGCCTTAATGGCTTAGTGCTTAATAGAAAATGAGTCTGTACACAGTTCAATACACAAAGAAGTAATTTTCACTCTCCCTGACAAACCCAAGAGAACTACATCAATGGAATTTTAGGATTGATGTTTTGAACACTTCCTTATGGTCATGCAGATACCCTATCAATTTCTTATGATCATTTTCTGGTAATCTTCGGACATTTTATATATGACTTGATGCATAACCACTTTAACGATAAAACCCAAAATGACCCAATGTTTACAACAACAAAAACCCTAATGTATATATTTTTTATTTTAGGGGATCAAAATTTATAATATTAAAAAATATATGAACGAAATTTTCTCTCACTAATGCACCGAACCAAACAAAATTACAACCCATAGCCCTTACATTTACAGTTGGCAGCACATTTTTCAATAGGTCAACCTGATTTCAGACTATGCATTTCCAATTTTTATTATGCAGTTGTGCATTAGGTGATACGAAAAATAAATAGTTGAAACGAAACATAAAAGATTTAACAGTTGTGAAAATCAAATTAAAATTTTAAACCACATATAACATTCAGTACTACGTAACATTGAAGATGTTATACATACAAAATTACAATTTTTTTCTTCTTTTTATAACAATGTAGAGTGGTCATCATTCCTGTACCAAACAATTTTGTATTTTTTTGGCTTGCAACATCATGTATCTAGGTAGGGTCCCTCAGAGTGATCCATTATTAGGCCTCTATTTCAATGGGTCGCTCAGAAACCCAAATAGTGAACCTAGGTATACCCCAACTATGATCGATGTATCCCAGTGAGGAAATGCTACAATGTACGAGAACTATCTCTGAAGATTGTTTGCCTGTTTTAAACTAGTTGTGACAATAGCTATGATGCATCGTCAATCCAAGGAGGAGGCATTGATTAGCCTCTACGGTCCCCGGCACCTGATCAGATGCATTTAAGGGTAAAGGTTCTGATTGATGGGTCCGAACTATATGATCACTCTCATCAGTTACTCTGCATGTGCATCTCATGTACTGTACTCTAGCTACTAGATAACAAAGATCATGATTATTGTGTAATGATTCTTTGATATTTTATACAATTGATAAGAAAAGCTAAAAACAATAAAAAGGCATAACCCCATCTTTACTTCAACTTTTAAGCTTCTTAGGACACTTTTTTTTTACGCACCGCTTGGTTCTATGTAACTAAAGTGATTGTCATATTTGTATTGAGAATCCATCACTTTTTCATTTTGCACTTGCAAATCCGTATATTTTAATAAGTGCATATCATATAGCAAGTTAATTGGAAGTACAAAGACAACTTTCTTTTCCTTTTCCCTAGTTTTTGTGTTGCTGGAAATAAGTAAGAACGATCACAAACTAACTACATTGAGATGTGTGAAGATATAGTAAATGAAATAATAAAGAAGAAGAAAATTTTCTTTTCATTTGATTCATCAATTATATAGAGTGACTGAGATATACATATATATATATATATATATAAAATTCGCATACAACATAACTCTTCTATATATAACCTAACCGTACGTGTCCAGAAAATTAGGTTAGGTAATACAAGTTTACCAAATTGTATTAGATTGTATCAAGAATCCAATATAGTGTATCCACAACATAGATGCAATATGATCATTGATATGAAAAGTGAATTATATTGTACAAGGATAATTGCATCGTCATGTACCTTCGGACAAATATAATATCTTGATACGAAAAAGTGATATTGTGATGCGTTATGTATATATAGTTGTTTCACATATATGAATATTAATTAAATCGGTTCTTAACATATTTTATGTTCATCACGTGGATCTTGCTTAATAGATATAATGATGAAATTTGAAATTAAAAAACACATTGAAGGATTATATATGAAGAACTTCATTCATTATTTTGAATATGAATTCAAACCTATATGTATCTTAAACTGTGTTAAACTTAATTGCACTTTTCTAGTCAGGTTTATATATGAGCCACAGATCGTCAATCAAACTAACAACCCTTAAATCAAGTTATCGACAATATCAATAATATTGACTACATATTTGTGTATTAATACAATTAATTAGAGAAAAATTGGAGCTAACTATATTTTATTTCATCCCTCGTCTTAAGTGATTTTCAACATATGCTAAAAGGTTCCAATTTTATCATCTTGCATCATGAGCTTTTAAATCGTACAAATTTATGTTTGTCGTTTATTTCACAATACGATCCTCTTTTACATGGATGCAGTAAACGATGTGGGATCCATTTCTAGGCTGCATAGAAGTCACACTTACATATACATATACATATATTAGGGCCATACTGTATAATTAGTTATCTACAATGAACATTGACTACAAGAGAAGCCAAAGTTCCATGACGACTAGTTTTGGCCCATATGCTACAAGTATATGGTTTTCACATTTGATATGTCTCACATTTATAACATCAACAAAGCACAAGATAGTCAAATAGAAATAAGACAAAAATTGATACGTTTTCAAATCTTATAAAGTGATGTGCGAAAACTAAAACTTGATCCTTTTTATAACTATTCCAAACTTGATTTAGGTATAAAATGTTATTAGCCCGAAAAATTATATCATGTTGATTCTCTTTAAAAAGATTTTCTTAGTTTTGAAGTTCCATACCAAGTTATGTCTATTTAGCTTGTGGCTACTACTTTGGGACCGTGATTTGGAAAAATGTCAAAAATGACGGAGGCCTCTAGCCATCACTTCAATTGCTTATATTTTTTTTTTCATTTTTTTTCTCCAAAATTTTGAAGAAAATTTAAACTTCAATTGCATATATATTTTGTTTCTACTTAGTAGAAAACTTTGGATACTTTCTTTGAGAAAAGACGTATGAGAGTGAAGGTTGATCATGATAAATGATGATTTGATTTTGTGGGGTGCCAACGTATATGAGATGGAAAGTTAGAAAGTTAGAAAGTTCGATTAGCTAAGCTAATTGGCATAGGAGTTAGAAATCTGATGATTGAACATTGTCTCTCATTTTGACTTAAAAGCCTACCACTGAATAAAATATTTTTTTTCTAGTGTACCACGCTGTCCAAGTCCAAACCCTTCTATACCATTATTAAGGCATATCATCACCTCCCCAACCAAAGTCCATTTCAAAAGGTGTGAGACCTTTGTTTCCTCAAAAGAGTTTAGTTGATACCCAAGAGATCAAAAGCTAGACTTCTCTCCCAGAGAGAGAGAGAGATGGGGAGGGCTCCTTGTTGTGACAAAGCAAACGTGAAGAAGGGACCATGGTCACCAGAAGAAGACTCAAAGCTAAAGGAGTACATAGAGAAATATGGGACTGGTGGGAATTGGATTGCTCTCCCACAGAAAGCTGGTAAGGGTTCAATTCTTCTCCCTCTCCCTCTCCCTTCGCCGCCCCCCCCCCCCCCCCCCGGCGGCTCTCTCTCTCTCTCTCTGTTGTTATTTATGTTTGGGTGAATTAAATTGGGTGTTTGGATCAGGTCTGAAGAGATGTGGGAAAAGCTGCAGATTGAGATGGCTTAACTATCTGAGGCCAAACATCAAACATGGAGAATTCTCTGATGAGGAGGACAGAATAATATGCAGCCTCTATGCTAGCATTGGAAGCAGGTAACTCTCTACTCTACTCTTACTAAATATATTAATTAATTTCTCTTTTTACCTAATTTCCAAAGCTATATTCTAGAGTCTACTCTTTTTTTTGCCTTTAATTATCACTTGCTATCATGAAAGATGTTGATGACCTATCCAAAATCAGTACCAAAGAAAAGGAAAAAAAGGAGAAAAAGAAAAGACAAAGATTATGTCATGTTTTTTTTGCCTTATTTTATCTTGTTTATAGAAACTACTGCATATATCAAGAATCTGCTATTTTTGGATATTTTCACTGAGCATGCCAAGTTTGGATCTAGCATCAACACCCACTTACAGCTGTTAAGGGAAAGCCAGAATAAATTTCTGCTTCTTCTGGTACTTACTGAATAATTATATATGTAATTAACAACAGGTGGTCAGTTATAGCTGCACAGCTGTCAGGCAGGACTGACAATGATATCAAGAACTATTGGAACACCAAGCTCAAGAAGAAGCTCATGGGGATGCATATGGCTTCTCCTCCAGCTCGTCACCACCATAGAAATTTACCAAAACCTCCCCCATTTCCTCCATTTCCTTCTTCTTCTCATCACAGTTACCAAAACCAATCATTGATTCAATCTGAACCTCTCTCATCACTGTACAAAGACCTAAGCAATTACGACAGATCTTTCTTAGGGTTTGAAGTGCCACTGCCACTGCCACTGCCACCACAAGTTTCACTGACATCCAGTAATTTCTCAAATACTTCCACCAACTCTGTTTCTCTTTTCCAAACCCTAAATTACCCAGCTGGAGTGAAGAAAAATAACAACAATAACCTCCTCATGTTTGGAAGTGAAGGAAGTTGCAGTACTTCATCTGCTGGAAGCTGTAATAACCAGATCAGCTATGACTACTGCAGCAGATCAGAGATTAATAACATCAAACAAGAAGAAATGGGTTTTGATCATCAGAGCTTCATGATGCTTAACTATGGCAACCAATGGACTGAGAGGCCAAATGGGTTTTATTTTGGAGCAGAAAACAACACATTAGAGTTTTCTGATCTGGATGAAGATGTTAAGCAGCAGCTGATTAGTTCTGGTAGTAAAAATACTAATAATCATGATACTATTATTAACGGTTCCTCTACGTCTAACTGCTTATTATTCAATGTTGATGAAAGCAAGACAGAAGATGATGAGGAGGTCATGTATTTCTACTGAAGTTATTGAATGCTAGTAGCTTCGGAATGCTGAAGAGTTATTGAGTCTACTGACTGACTGTTGTAAGTAAAATGATCAGAAGGATTTGATGGGGTATGGTGAGTGGGGGTGGGGGAGATATTCAGGAAGATTGACTCAGTGGACCTCTAATCTATATGTTTCTGAACTCTGAATCTGATATATGCGATGATTTATTTTTTTTTTACAGTACATGGTGAAGCCCATTTTATTTTGTTAATTTGTGCATTTCATTTTGAGAGTACGTGAATGCTGATGATGATTAAGATGATATGTTGTTGTACGGTCCTTCACTGCAACGTCTTCAGAATAAAAAATGTGTCATGAAAGCTAGAAAGAACAAGAACCTTATGCAAACACGAACTGGTTTAACAAAGGCATGCAATGCTATCTTATTGTTTTTCATTTTCCAAAGCTTCATTTGTATAATTGATAACGGTGACTTTTGAGATGTGTCAATATGTTAATTTTGTGTGTCTAAATAACATCATCAAAATCATACGTCTCTAGTTAAATAATAAAACTACCACCAGTAGCGGAGCCACCTTAGAATAGTATTAGAACAGGATAATCCCCAAGCCTATCCTGAATTTTTTTTCTTATAAACCTCTACTATATACAATCTATCAATTTGAATTTGGCCAATATAATACCATTATCAAATTGAGTTTAATAGTATTGGTCAGTTCATTCAATCCAACAAAGAAATACGAAGGCTTTAGTTGTTTACATCAAAGATTCATAGCTATGGTTCTATAATGTATTAGTTAATCATATTCTACTACAGAATTTAAAAAAAATTCGCTTCGCTTGTAGAATATTATTTTGTTTAATTTTTCATCTCCCTCTATTATATAATCTATGAAATCAAGAGAGAGAATTCTTGTTTCCAAATTAGCAGAATTCTTGTGTCTAAGTTAGCACAACAAAGCCCTCCAAATTCTCTCGCACTTCATGTTTCTACAAAAGATGAAAAATGTTCTTTTGGTCAGAATGAGAAAAGAAATTCATGGCTACTCAATCTTGAGTTTGATATCAAGAATAAATATAAATTAATATGTACTTTTAATACTTTATTCTTAACATTTGATATCAAATTCAATTGTGAGCAATTATACATCCTTAATCACTAAAATGACAAAAAAAACGAGACTACGGTTTTATATATTTTTGTTGTAAAAAAAAATTCCTTTATCCAATCTAAATTCTATTTAACATAAATTCTTGACTTCGCTATTCACTACCACTAAGTAACGCAAGACAAAAAGTTGATGCCGGAAATTTTGGACTTTTGCCAAAAGGCTCGAGCTCTAAAATATGGTTTATTATTAATAATATGTCTCATAAAATATTATTAACAATATGTCTCATAAAATATTTTGTGCAATAGTTAAAACCCAAGGGCGGTTGATCAGTCCACAACCGATTGTCTTTGTAAAGACACCCTTTAAAAGTAAGTTTCTTTATATATTCTTTGTATTTTTTGTTATTTCATGTTTTTATACATAATATTTTATAAAATTAATACAAAAATTAACGTTAGATTATAAAATGTCAAAGAGTTTACAAAAAAAATTTACTTTGACAAAGTTTCCAGGTCTCTTGTCTGTAAGTCGGCATGCCAATGCCATGATGATAAGAATGGATTGCCAGGAACAGTAGTACTGTTAATAAATTGGACTCTACAAATAAAATTGGTTCCGCAAGAAACGAAGTAATGAGTACTCTTGATTAGACTGTACAACATTTGGGGAGGCGATACTCAATCGCGAGGTTCTTTGAAATAAGTTGTATTTTTATAAACAAAAAAGAAATAATATTGTCCATTGAAGGGAAAAACTGTTTGAGCTCAAAAGTAAACCAGAAAAAAAAAAAAAAAAAAAACAAAGCAAAAGAAGGTTTCTAAAATATTTAGCCAATGATAGTCATTTTAGTTAAAAATGGTCATTGAAATTAGCATAACTATTCATTTTGATTCTTAGCAATAAAAATCGATAGAAGTGATCTCTGAGTTTGTCTACCGTAAAATATTTTTTTCTTGAAATATATGTCAATATCCTCGTTAAGAGGAGGAGTTAGTTTGACAAAAATACCCTTACAAAGGTGGTCACTTGGTTCTTCACGTGACAATTCAACGAGCATATTGACAGATTTTTTACAGTAAGACCAAAATGATTTACAATGGATAAAATCAGAAACCGCTTCTATCAATTTTCATTGTCTGAGACTAAAGCAATGAGTTGTGCCTATCTCAAAGACCATTTTGAATTAAAAGCTTCAAATTTATGCACCAATTTTTTCACCAATAATATCTCAGTTTATGACTCACTATATATCTTACTTGTCAATAATAAAGCTGAATTCAAATTTAAATCAATCAATTATTGTCACGTTACTTTTTGGAAAAAAAAAATCAGCCCATTATTTGATAAATAAAACTTTATGAACTAATTTAGTGTCTCAACCTTTAACTACTTTAACTCTGAACTAAAAAACCATTAGTCAATGGAGAAGGAAAATTTTATTTCGACCCACTTTCTTATCTCTATATCCAACTAAAAAATTGGGTAAATTACATAGAAACCCCTCAGGTTTGAGGGTTTATTATAATCTCATACAACATCTTTAAAACATTTCACTTTCATACCTCACGTACTATTTTATTTCAAAATAACACATCCGTTAGATTTTCCATCCAATGGTCTGTTAAATGCTGACGTGACTGCCACATTTGTGTTGATGTAGCTGACACATGGCAAAAAAATTAATTTTTTATACATTAACAATATTATAATATTAACCCTATTTAAAAATAACAAAAAACACCAGAAAAACCCGAACCCAATCCCCTTCCTTCCCCTCACCTATCTGTAAAAATACCTTCCCCCAGAATAAGAAGAAACTAAACCCGTCCCCCGCTGGCACGCCACGACCCACCTGCTCTTCCCCCTCCTCTCGCGACGAGGCACCTGCTTCCCCCACCCCCCCGCGACGACGCACCTACTCCCCCCCCCCCCGGCGACGACCCACCTGCCTTCCTCTGCCGCGACGACCCACCTTCGACGATGAGCTCGCGACCCCCGCAGGCGACTATTGCAGGTATTTGGGTTGTGGGTTGTGGTTTTTCAGGCAGTGGGTTGCAGGGGTTTCTAAGAAAATTAGTGAAAAAAAAAGCAGATAAATGATTAAAGGTGGGGGCTTTGAGGTGGGAGAGGTGGAGGGGGATATGGGTTTTGGGGGAAGGTGACGCGTGGAGGCAGAGGGTGGCGGGGGAAGAGGCGGGAGAGGGGTGGAATTCGAAGTTCAAATCCTAGAGAGGGAAAGGGAATGAGGGAATTGAAAAAACGGTGACAGGGAGTGTGTTGGGGTTGGTGTGGAGGAAGAAGAAGAGTGGGAGAGATGGGTAAGGGGGTGGGGGTGAGATGTGGGGAAGGGGATTTGGGTTCAGGTTTTCTGGTTTTTTTTTTTTTTTTTAAATAGGGTTAATATTATAATATTGTTAATGTATACAAAATTATTTTTTTTGCCATGTGGCAGCCACATCAGCACAAATGTGGCAGCCACGTCAGCATTTAACAGACAATTGGATGAAAAATCTAACGGATGTGTTGTTTTGAAATAAAATAGTACGTGAGGTATGAAAGTGAAATGTTTTAAAGATGTTGTATGAGGTTGTAATAGACCTCAACCATTAAGGATTTCTATGTAATTTACCCTAAAAAATTCTATCTACTAAATTTTCAAGTTTACCCTTATATAAAAAATAAAAAAATAAAAATCGATATATCTATCTCTACACACAATATCCTAAAACCTCGCATACCACTGCACTCCATTATTTTCGGCAAAACAAATGCGGGCCGGCCAAACATTCCCTCGAAGCTGTCGAAGACTGTTATCTCCTTTCATTCTTTTAAATTTCCTAATGCATGCAAATCCTTCATCCAAAATGTTTTTGTGTATCAAAGAAAATTCCTTACTTTTTATCTTTATTATTTTAACATATGATAATGTCTATACTAAGAGGGTGAAAGAGTGAGTTCAGTCTTATAATGGATTTGTCATAATGTAGTTCAAATTCGACTTTGACGAAAATCGAACCTATGACCTATCACTTACAAACAAAGAAGAATATCACTAGATCGTAGTACTAATAGGCGTATCAAAAAAAGTTTTGAATAGCTTTTTTTTTTCTTTTCTAATAGCCCCACCCAAAATGTTTTAAAATTCTTTGAGCGGTTGGGCTTAACATGCATGTGCAAAATATTCTTTTGTGAAGATGTTAAATTCCAATGGGAAAAAACAAAACAGATTTCAAGGCCAACCACCTCTCATTCTTCAAAAGAAATTAAACAACTCATGATTAGGGGTGACAATTCATATAATAAGCCGTGTCTTGTAAAGATACAGTGTTAAATCAGAGGAAATGGGAAAATGATTCTCACCGGATTTTTTTTTTAGGGATCTTGGGAATTTCGTGATCGTGACCGTTCATTGTATATCGTGTGGTCAATTTTCGTTAAGTACTATTTATATTTAATTTTAAATTTTAAATTTTAAATAATTTTGTGACCGTACAATATACGATCAACGGTTACGATCATAGGATCCCTAGGAAAAGGATCCTCGAGGAAATGAATATAACATGCCTGAAATAAAAATACGGCTTGTTGAGTTTATCAAATTAACATGTAACACACAGCATGATTCTTCTACCCGTTTATGGTAACGAAAATCTTAACCATCAAAATTTTGTTTTTTCGTTTTCTTTTTTTGCCAAATGATCATAGAATTTAATTAAAGGAGAATAGAAACGCTTAGCCAAAGGACAAACAATTAACTAAAAGCAAAATTTTTTTTATAACCAAAAGCAAATTTATTTACATGGGTTTCGTTGTTGAGAAACAAGAGAGGCAACATGTGTACTATCGCATTGCATGAGCAAGAGTTTGGCTACTTATTTACTTATTCTACTAGCCTTCATGAGTTTGACTACTTATTTACTTATTCTGCTAGCCTTCATGCATGCACGTTATTTTTTGAATCACGGCGTGTTACACGCGACTTACATGTTTTAAATGTATTTATATATGTAAATTGACAAAAGGAAAGTCAAATATTTGAAGTAAATGAATAATCTTAGATCATACTAGAAGAAACCACTCATAAACCAATTAAAGCAGCTGAATTCACATAATAAAATCGGTTTATTTAGAATTTACATTAAGAATAGAGAAAATAATATTTAATAAACAATTGATTGAATCTCATTATTGCTAGCCCATTGTGAGGCTAAGCCCACCCCTCCCCCTTAGTGTAGATAATATCGTTTGTT